TTTTTTTTTTTTTTTTTTTTTTTTTTTTTTTTTTTTTTTTTTTTTTTTTTTTTTTTTTTTTTTTTTTTTTTTTGCAGAACGAAAAGCAAATTCATATAAAAATCTAAAATCATATACATATTCATACACATATTTAATACTTTATGGTATTGATCTTTCCATATTTATCTAAAATTCCATTTTTCTGATACTTTTGACAAATCTTGTCAAAATTTCCCATTATCTCGCAATCATTCCAGAATATCCGAATCTTTTTCGAAATTCTTTCTCTGCTTTGTATGAAATTTTCAAGAACCTCGGCGGAGAATTTCCAACCGTGAATGACGGATAGTTCTTTCAAATTCCATGGTTGTTTGAGCGTGATCTTTCTAAATACAGGATTGAAATCGATCGGCGATGCGGCAGATCTACAGTTGTCTACTGACGGATGAAGTTCCAAAGACTCTATGTGCGAACACGCATTAAGTAGCTGTCCAAGTTCCGACGCATTATTCGCTCCGATCGGTCCGCCGAAATGCAAAAGGTTGGGGCAATTATCCGCAATTGAGGTGATGAGAAGATGTGACTTATCAGGATCACATATTGTGCAGCAGTTGATTGTAATGCTACTCAAGCTCTTGCCGGAGTTTTCAACGAATTTTCCAAAGATATCTAAATAAAGTGAATGCCGGTTTTGATACAAGATATTTCGGAGGTTCTTTAAACGCACGTCTGCCAAAGGTGCCCAGTCCTGAAAACCATAGGTTCCACTGAATAGTAGATTCAAATCCAATAGGTTTTCAAATCGTGCAAGATCTTGAAAAGGGAAGTGTATTTTTTGAATTTCTAAATTAGTGATAGACCGTGCTTTTTCCAAAATCACAGTTCCGGCATCCGTGTTGGTCCAAAATTTGAAGCCGAAGGGGGAATTTGTTCGATTTGTAATGATTAAAACCTTCAAATTTCTTTGTGCCCTAATCATGTTAATCAATTCGGCCGTACGATCGTATACAGATATGTCCAGTCGTTCAATCTGGCCAGCGGATTGTGCAATTTGCGAAAAAAGTGTTTCCATTGTGGGATGCTCGGCAAAATACATGAATTCCTTTAAGTGTGCCAAACATTTATTTGCTTTGGGCACACGCTGAAGTATATCGGCGACGATAGCCCCAATAATATCTACGTTCACTCTGAGGACATTCATGCGTCGAGAAAGGGTAAAAATTTGTTGCAACAATTCTTGAATAAGCAGTCGAATTTGGTCGCTGGTAAGTCCCTTCCTCATAAACACTGAATATTCGATCCAAGATTGTAACGCAATATAAAAGCACTTCAAATCCAAGTTCCTTAAATAGGAGGCATATGGAAAGGTCGGGAGTCTTGTGACTACTGGCAAGATGACCTTCTCCATCTTCAGAGCATCTCGTGACGCTTGCGAGAGACCTGATATATAGGTGTCAATGATCCTAAATCCTCTTTGCTTCCCATTTTTACCCATCAACATTTTTTCATCCAAGGTGTTTTCCCACATTATGGAAATCGCGCTCTGACACCAAGACTTGTTCACCAAGGCAACAGCATGTAAGGATACAATGTCGCCTCGGAGGAATTCGAATATTTTCACAAAGCAATCCGCGTATAAACGAGAAGCCATGCTTAATCTGCGGATCAACATGACCGTTAAAAAAAAAAAAAAAAAAATTTTTTTTTTTTACAAGAATCCATGAACAAAATTATTTTACCTACCGTGTGCAAAATTAATTATTCTATTCCTGATGAAAATATTAGATTTAGTCAAAATTCACTCTAGCCAAGTGAAATTTTTCGTGAAAGAGAAGTGAGTTATCTTGTGGCATTACAGGCTACAACGAAAATTTTTAAAGAAATTGATAATCTAGTCTCTTGATCGTGTAAAAAATTGATGCATACACCGTTCCATTGTCGATAAATGCACTCACCATGCAACACAAAAACTCCTCAACTAAGTTCTTTATAATTGAAATCCGATAATGTTACGTGCAAAGATATGTTGAAAAAGGGGAAGTCCAAGAAATTCTGCCAACGGGATTTATTATTAGTCGATGCATAGAAAAGGTTTGATTGAAATGAAAAACGAAGCGGGCGAAACGAAACGAAACGTACAAGTGTTAAATACGAACCCCCAATGACAAAACAAAGATATAATTTCCCGAACAGTCCGAGTTTGGTAAGAGAGTAGAAGGATGTATTAAACTAAGAGAAAAAGCTAATGACCAAAAACGTGGTCCTTGAAGTAGAGTACGTATGTATACGCAAATAAGCCCTAATACGTACTTGCGCACCGAAAACTTTATAGGGATTTCAACGCATACATACAGTATAGCCTACACATATTACAGTAATCAGGAGATCAAATATCACCAAACTAGGTGGTGGACTTGCTATGCATGCTGCAGGGAAATAGACGCATATATTTTTTTTTTCTTACCAAATTGACAAAGTATTTGCCTATGAAGGCATAGAGGGGATTTGTTGATGTGCTGAGAGTTCCCCGGATTTAGAAAAATGTTTACGAGACCTGCGAAGCTTCATGCGCGACCAGTAACACCGCAAAACTCTTTTCGATAAACCAGGGGTGGGTATATCTCCATACAATACGTATTTTATGCGGTTCATTATTAATTTTTTTTTTAACGGTCAAAAAAAAAGAAAGAAAGAAAGAAAGAGAAAGAAGAAAGAAAAAGAAAGAAAAAATTATCACACGTAGCCTTTTTCATTTTATTTTAGCTTATTTATTTATTTTTTAGCATGTTACAATATATGATAAAAAAATGAATTGACATAATTAGATAGTAAACTATATTTTTTTAAAATAAACGAATATAAACGAATATATATTTACTGTAATTATAAAACCTTTATCTTCTCCATTGGTTTAACTAAAACTAGAAGTGCAATTTTTAATTGATTTAGATTGTTTTATCATCGTTATATACTGTATATAGTATATCGCATATACGTATATAGTATATCGCATATACGTATATTTAATATAAACGAATTTTCACTAATCGATATTTTATAATCAAGAATAAAAAACAACAGCAAAGCAATAATGAACAATGGATTGTTTTTTAAAAAAATTAATTTATATTTATTATACATCGATAATTTATAAATGATAATTTTATTAAAATAAAAAAAACGATTCTTAAGCTACACAAAATTTTTTAAGAAATCAAAAAAAATTAATTTTTTTTTCAATAATTCATTAAGTCACGCTGATAGCATGCATTTATTATATCAATAAACTACTTTGTTTTTTTTCTGCATTTCCCTTAACCAAGCTAGGCTGCTTGTTTATTAATCAAAAGAATACAAAAGTATATATTTATTTAAGCAGTATAGTGCATATTACAGCTAAATATATATCAAGTCTAGTTAACTGGTCATAGGCATAATGCCTCTAAGTTTGATTTTAAAGACAATATTTTGTTCTATAATAGATTTAGATAAATACTCTCCTAATTCATAGATCATTACTAATAAATTTTTGCTGTCATATATCTGCTAAGCCACTAAAGTATAAGAAATTATATAAGAAATAAATTAAAAAAAAGTAAAAGTATATTTAAAAATATTCAAATGTAATGAAAGCGAAAAGGAAAGAAGAAAAAAAAAAAAGAAATAAAATTATCTAGTTTTTTTTTTTATGATTCACTTCTTAAGATCTCTTTTAAATAAGAAATGCTCTATTGAAATGTTTTTTTTCCAATTATTTAAATATATTATCTATCTTTATTTAATTTTTTAATCGTACTATTTATTAAACATTTGTTTTTCAAAAAATTTTATATTATTTAAAGAATTTATTATTATAAAACCTAATTGAGATATGATAAAAGTTATTGCCAAAACTTTGCTTAATTATAATAATAGAAATTTTTTTTTGTATATATAAAATGTTAGCTTATCCTTGTGTTGAGGTGAGCAAGGTTTATTTGAATAAACAAAAGATCTAGGGACAACTGGGATGAATAACTACCCATACTGTCTAAGGATTTATAAATCAACAAATAGTATAAAGAACTACTTATTTATATCTTATTCAACTAGAATAAGATAGTTATATAACCATCTAGTATAGGTAAAGATGGGTTCCTAAAGGGGGAGGCAGGGACAAAAGTCAAATGTCCCTCCCTAGGAAACATTGAAATTTTTAAATTAATAATTATAAAAAAAACTATTT